TATATATATATATATATATTATTAAAGTCTGTCGCAAAGAACGTTGATTTGATCTTTGGTCAAACAAGGTTCGATCAAGATCGAGCCTTATTCAAACCTTCACATGCACTATCCTGCTATATTGTCCATAGGAAATCTCCACACCATCAATCTTATTAGTGTTTCCCCAGCAAGTTCTCATCACGAAATATTCTTATCTCACATGTCGTTGGTCCCATTGGTAAGTCCTCTAATTATAAAATCCTTTCTGTCAACGGGCTAGTCCTACCCACTCCCATTAGCAAGCTCCCAACAAACTCCCATCACAAAATCCTACGTCTCATCCATAATTTTTGCTACAATTGAATTAATTCAAATCATTCTTTTCCTGGGAATGATATCAATAAGCAATCCCAAAATACAAAAGAGGTGTAACTTGATATGACATAAACTTTTAGCTATATTTTCCCATAAATACGAAACAACTGATATATTTCTTCAATTCTTAATATTATGGGACATGAATTGGAGGACCAAATGATCAAAAAAATTGGCATGCTTATAGCCAAATAGAACATCTCTATGAGTAAATTCAATGATCCTAATATCGTTTAATTATGAAAACATTATGGCGCTTGAATACTAAACAAACATTCTATGATCAAGTAATTAATTTAGACCCATTTAATGGAATGTTTTAGATTTTCCCTATATTTATGTCCCAAAGTTGATCCTCCAATTCATGTCCCAAAGTTTTCAATTATGCTTCAAACTCTTGATCTAGGCTTATTTGGACTTGGATCAAGTCATTTTTGATATCGTTGGATTCATGGCATAGAGGCATTTTGTTTGATTAGAAGCTTGCTAAAATCAATGTTTGAATGGTCATGAACTTAATGTTGAAAGTTTCTAATTCAGATAAGCAACAAGATATTTTTCATATCAAGTAGATGAGAATTTAACTTTATATGTTTCATAACACTAAGAATTGAATAAATATATCAGTTGTTTCATTTTTTATGAAAAATTATAGCTAAATATTCATTTCATGTCAAGTTATACCTCTTGTTTTTTGGGAATTGCTTACTGATGTCACACCCGAGAAAATAATGATTTGAATTGATTCAACTGGAGCAAAATTGTGATTGAGATGTAGGATTTTATGATAGAAGTTTGTTGGGAGCTTGTTAATGGGAGTGGGCATGACTAGCTCGCAAAAAAAAATGATTTTGCAATTAGATGACTCACTAATGGAACCGACAACATGTGAGAGAAGGATATTTCATGATGAGAGCTCACTGAGGAAATATTGATAAAATTAATGGGGTGAAGAGTTTTCCTGTGAACAACTTAGTGGATAATGCATGTGAAGGTTTATGTAAGGTTTGAATAAGGCTCGATCCAGATCGAACCATGTTTGACTAAAGTTCAAATCAATTTTCTTTGAGACAGACTAATAAGCATTTCTATGCATACATAAGAGGAATAATTTTGTCTGAAATGAATTTATTGGCATATTATTTTGAAAAAAAATAAAAAATATGCCATTTGTTATAAAGTAAATGTAAGATTTTTCTTAGATCTATTTTATACACTATAGATCTGCTTTTTTGTTCTTCAAATTCACAGAATTCAGGTTTTCGTAGTGACTTTATATTTCAAAGGGATATCACATCCTCAATTCTCAATTCTTTAGCCATTTCTGATCATCTCCCATATAGGGATATTATTAATATTCTTACCTCAGCACAACCACTATCTTCTTCCTCTCCTTAACATTATTTTTGAGTTTTGAGTTATTTTGCTCCTTGATTTCAACCTTAGCAGAGCATAATATCATCATCCTCACAGTGCAGTAACCTATTTCCCCCCTTTATAAGTTTTAATAAACGTCACATGAAATTTCTCCCCTAAATCTTGTGTTTGATTTTAAGATTCTGTCATAAACTGCTAAATTTTATTTTTTCATATTCCTCTCATTAATTTTTTAAGTTTAATATGAAAAAATCTCTTTCTATATTAATTATGATAGGATTGTTCACTTATTATTGTTATTTAGTTATATATTTTGTGATTTTATGTCAATTCAGGCGCTTTTCGATGTGCACAAGATGGTTTAAAAATCTTCATTGAAAAATTAAAATTTTTTTCTCTTATATGTCACGTCTACTCTAGCTTATGTTGATAAACTCATTCTTACCTTACAAATATATTTATTTAACTAATAAATACATATTATTTATCTATGGGATTCTTTGTTGATTAATTAGGTAAAAGAAAAATCAATAATCAATTTATATATACATATAAAAAGTAAAACGACATACTAATTTAGGAATTTTATCAAATAAGAGGTAAGTTAATGATCATTGATTGGTTAATTAATAATTTCTCAATTCATTCTACTACTTTGATTACTTTATAAGTTATCCACCAAGCAAACCACAATTTAATATTTCATAATTTTGTCATTAATTGAGACTAAATAATAAAAATAGGATCATTTAGTTAGATAACATTATGCTTAAATGTTCTCAATAACTAATTATGGATAATTTATTATTAGGATTTGAAATAGACCATATATTAAGATTAACTAAATAGAGAAATTATTAGGAATTTATTACATATTCGAAAATAATAAGCCATTAAAATGTTTAAGAGAAATACATTAATTATGTAAACTAATTAGGGCATTAATTACCATAAATAATTTAGTTATTAGTTAATCACTAATGAAGTTTATTTAATAAGTTTGTCATTAATTTATGACAAGCTAATGGAAATCTCTAATTATATGTTAATTAAAGTTATATATTTTATATCTTTACAAATTACCACATGATAATTATTGTTATAATAAAAAATTACTGTTAATGTAACACATAAGTTGTTAACTTCCCAAATATTTTTATTTTTCCCAAATAATGTTGTTTTTCACTACTTAATTAACTTTATAAATTCGGGGAGGGAGTGATAGGTAGATGAAAAATAAATACTTGGCCATCTTGATTTTCTACAAATGTGAAATATCTCTTGATTAGATCTGTCTTGCCAAAATAACATGCAATCTATCACACCTCATTTTGACCCCCTACAATCAACATGGAATGAAATAGAGAAGAAGAATCTGAATAAACCTATCTCTTATTAACACCCATCCTGAAATATTTCTATCAAAATCAGATAAGTAGGAAATGACCTATCCAGACTATCCCAACATATCAAGTTTTCAAACCTTAATGTTTTAATTCATATTTCATAATTGGAAACACTTTTAAAACGCACCGAACAGAGCTTATAAACTTTCACATTATATTTACATACTCAAAAGTGGCTATACACAAAAGCTTCGGTCAACCTTCCTGCCTAGTGCCTCACTGGCTCTTTCCGATTTCCTGCAGTACAACAACTACAAATGAGCTAAAGCTCAATAAATTACTTAAGCATAGCAAAAGAAAAATTGTTGCAGTTAATAGAAAACAATCTGGGGTGTATAATCATCATGTACAAAACATTATGTTCTAATTCAATACTTTAGCAAGTAATATGATGAGTATAGACTTTTGCACACTTATAGCTCTTTAATTCAAGGTTAGGTCGGTATTCCTAACTTAATAGAATTAGAGGACAACTCTCTCATTTAAGTAAGGGTCCGAATTCTTAATTTTAGAATTGAGAGAACGTAGGGTACCTTCTGTATTAGTCTATGTCCCATATATGATTAATCTCATTTAACTTCTCATTTGCTTTTTTCATAACAATCATCAAAATGCAATTGCAATAAATATTTGATGAACTTGATGAATCAGAAACTAAAAACGTAATGAAACTGAAAAAAAATGCTATCACAATTCTATACAAATATGAGGTCACAATTATATAAAGTTTATTATTTCCTATACCATAATTTGGGTCTCTAACCTCAGGAATTAGTTCTCCTAGACCCTACCTTCTTTTCCTTTTGTAAATAACCTATAGAAAGGGAATTCAAGCATAAATTCCCTTTTAATTTAATAACAAGCTTTAAATGAAATCCAATAAAATATGGAATGCTTTACCTTCACCAAATTTCCTCATTCAACCCAACTCATTTTATTACCTCTCTTTCCCTAATGAATTTAGCAGATCGATTTCAACAACCCCTTTATTTCAGCAAATCACACAGCAACTATTACCTACTTTCAGCAAACAACAATACTTTTACCTGCTTTCAACTTTTTCTCTCCTTTTTCTTAATGATTTCAGCAACAACTGTTAATTTCTGCAACCTAAATTCAGCTTCCTGAATTCAACAATTGAATTTCCTTACTGATTTCCAATACAGATTTCTGATTTCCGTTATTATTTCCAACAAATAGCAGCATCTCAACTGTTGTTTTCAGCAAAGAATAGCATCAATCATTTCATTTCCCTCTCCCAAACCTTCCTCTCTTCTTACCTACTAATTTCCTGACATTTCCCAAGCAAGCAGCAGCCCGTAGCCCTTCCTCCGTCTCCCGGCTAGTGGTCTGCACGCGGAAAGCTGCTTCAGGGTCCAGAGGATCGGGCTGTTGGAAGGATTGGAGAAATTCTATAGTGCTTATCTATATATATAATATAATATTATTAACACATCCACTAACCCATTCCGCTAATGTCAGCCGTGGTATTAAATATCAGCCACTGCATGCATTTTAAGTGAAATGAGTGGATCAATTTCCATATATATATATGCTTGTAATTTATATGCAGTTGTAAATATTAAAATGCTCTAAATTAAAAATAGAATTTAATGAAAATAATTTTGATGTTTTATGAATGTATTATAAAATGGAGTAAACTTTGAGGAAAAATGAATGCTTAAGTGAAAATTTTGGGCATTATACAGTCATTAGGACATGTATCAATTTGTGTATATTTAAGATCAAACGCTTTCATTATCTTCTTCACTTCATACATATTCTTAAGCAACAACAATCTTTTGGGAAAAACATCGATCAATAACTTCAGTAACATGTCGAAAGATCTTAAAGTCCAAGAATGTAAACACTTCAAATGAAATAAATGAATAGTAAAAGATGGCTTTGAGAATAACTTGCACTCAGGGTACAACTCTGCTCCTGCATCCTGCATTAATTTTTCAAAATTTTCATCATTATCATTTGGTTGATTTGCATTAACCTCATTATATTCATCCACTATATTTATGGTTGTATTATTTGGACAAATTGTGTCCCTTAAAAATCCTTTTATATCATTTGTAATTACATGCTCATTATGAACTATTGCAACCTCTAAATTCGATGTAACAATACATGTTTCATTCGTTAAACCGTCACCTACATTGTAATGTTCTTTACCATGCCAATTACATACAACATATCCAACAAGAGATTCTTTAGAGATTAAGGGATCTTTGATATCCTTTATTGAATGGAAGTATCTATTAATACATTATTTGCACGGAGATAAAATCTTTCCCGATGAATTCTGGCTTGGGCTTGCAAACTCTAGAAAATTGTTAACATCATTTATGTAATCACGACTCCATTTAACTTTTGTAATCCAACTCTTATCCATTTCTAGTGAAAAAATAAATATTGAAATCACTAGTTAAAATAAAGATTTATTCAAATAGTATATCTGATAACCCCCACAATAACAAAATTTGGTGTAACAACCCCATCCACTACAAATGCTAATCTATAATAGCCATATAAAAGAATGATTAGAACTTCAAAAATTAGTAATGCAACAATCAAAATAGATACAAGTAATAAATGAAAATTCATCGTTATGTCATATAACCTAGAAAAGAAATATGGATGCTCAAGGGAGAGACAGATGAAGTGGTGAGTTTCAAACATAAAACAACTAGGTGAGTAGTGAGTAGATTGATCCTTCAGAACAATTAATATGAGTAATATATATATATATATATATATATATACACACACACACAAAGTTACTACGTGGTACTAGTTTAGTTGATGGTATGTGCTTGATCAAGGCATGATAACATTGTCTATATAGTTATTGCTTAACCTACGGTATAAATACTTTCTATGCACAACTAATTTTTTATTCAATCTTCAGTTATTATAAACTATGTTCATTAGAATTTATTTTTGGGTACTGCAATTTGGAAATTTGAATTATATAAGCATATATCTTAAATAGTGTTTTAATATCACAAGAGAAATATAATATATATAATCAATGTCTGTAAAAAATAAATAGAGAATTATTAGGTTTGCAAACGAATCAAGTCGAGCCGAGTATGAGCATGTTCATGTTTGAGTTTGTTTATTATCAACTTGTTCAAGTTTGGTTCAAGTTATATTCGATATTTTTTGTTTGTGTTCAAGCTAGGTTCATTTAAATTAATGGGTGTTCATTTTTTGTTTATGTTTGATTCGTTTCGTGCTTATCGAACTTTAAACAAATGAGCCTTATCGAGCTATAAACAAGTTATACTTCTAGATATTAATTAACTTAACAAATGAGCCTTATCGAGCCTCTAACAAACAATTACATCGAGCATGTTCGTGAATATATCTAGCAAAGTTTTTTAAATTATCAAAACAAGCTCGTTCACGAACATATCTAACGAATATTCATGAGCTATCAAATGAGCAAGTTCATGAACATATCTAATTAGTATTTTCGAGCTACCAAATGAGCTCGTTTATGACAATGATCTATGATTTATCTGATATTTTTTCATGCATTTTAAACAAACAATCTAGTAAACATGAACAAATATCTCTTGTTCATGAAATTTATAAAATTTCTTAATTAACAATTATTATATCATTATGTTATAATAAATATAATAATTGCGTAAATACGATTGACTTTAGTGACTTTATCACCCTAAATGAAAATAAAGATTTTTTATTTTATCGGCATATAAATAAAACTGAAGTTAGAGAGGCCTTAAAGAAAATGAAGTGTGGAAAAACAATTGGACCTGATGATATTCCAATAGAGATGTGAAAATGCTTAGGAGATGAAGGAATTTCTTGGCTTACTAAACTTTAATATTGTTTTGAAGACTAAAAAGATGTCAGATTAGTGGAGAATGAGTGCGTTAATTCCTATTTTTAAGAATAAAGGTTATGCACAGGAGTGTGCGAATAATTGAGGAATTAAGTTAATGTGTCATGCTTTAAAACTATGAGAGCGAGTTATGGAGCGTAGTTTGCGGCGTGATACTAATGTTTCTCAAAATCAATTTAGATTCATGCCGAGTAGGTCTACTATAGAAGCAATACATTTATTGAGAGGTTTGATAGAGAAATATAGAGAGAATAAGGAGGATCTACACATAATATTTATTGATTTAGAGAAATCATACGATAAAGTTCCAAGAGAAGTGCTACGGAGAGTTCTTGAAAACGAAAGGAGTTAATAATGCTTATATTCAAATCATTAAAGATATGTATACAGGAGCTATTATTTGTGTTCAAACACAAGGTGGTTTGACCAAGTATTTTCTTATTTCAGTTGGATTACATCAAGGATCAACCTTAAGATCATATCTTTTTGCTTTAGTCATAGATGTTCTCACTAGACATTTGCAAGAGGATGTACCTTTGTGTATGCTTTTTAATGATGATATTCTTCTTGTTGATAAAATTAAAGAGGGAGATGGAGGTAAACTTGAATTATGGAGCTCAACTTCAGAGTTTAAAAGTTTTCATTTGAGTAGATCTAAAACTGAATATATGGAGTGTAATTTTAGTAGCAATAGACATAGTGAGGGGATTGTGACTTTGGGCGATCAAGTCATTAATAAGAGTACACATTTTAGATATCTTGGATCTATTGTTCAGAGTGATGGTAAAATTGATGGGGATATTATCAGTAGAATTCAAGTTGGATGGTTGAAGTGGAGGAATGCATTGGATTTATTGTGCGAAAGAAAAGTCCCCCTCAAACTTAAGGGAAAATTCTATAAGATGGTGGTGAGACCTGCAATGCTTTATGGTGTCGAATGTTGGGCATTAAAAGAGAAGCATAATACTAAGTGTTGAAGAGATGAGGATGCTCAGCTCAGGTGGATGAGCCGAACTATTATTGCAATGATGTTGTTCGTGAACATAAATGAGCCGAACATATTATTGTTCAAACTTGTTTATTTAAGAATAGAGTATTTAAAAAAATGTTTAAGTTTGTTTGTTTAGTTAATTAAACAATCACAAATAAGCTTTAATCAAGTTGAGAAACGAGTAGCTCATTGAACGATTTGTTCGCTTGCAGCCCTAAGAATTATCATTGCAACTTTTTCACTCTGGTATTGAAAGGTAGTTCATATTTAAAATTGTTCTGAATAGAAGGATTATCCTTAAAAGATGCAGATAAGAAATTCAATTGTAAAGTACTAAAAAGTCTTAACAGCTTTGTGCATATATCATACCTTTAATGAGAAAGTATGGTAATAGCTACTAAACTAAGTATAAATTAAACCAAAAGTTCATCACAAAATTTCATAAAATTAGAGTTCTTGTAAAGTAATCAGATCTATTGTGGAAGATTTCCATATCATTTAGCTAAATTTGAAAACTGCGAAATAGTTTAAACAAAGTGTGCAATACTTGAATCGATTCAATTGAAGCAGCACAACAATGACAATTAGATTATATATAGAAACCTCATTATCGTTACCTCTGTGCTTTGTCGAAGGAGAAAAGAAGCCAACCTCACGGCAGTGGTCGAGCACCAGCAAGAGAAATTAGGGCACGGTGAGAGGGAGGCTGCGACGTCGTAGACGTAACGGAAAGTCGGCCGTCTGTCGTGGGTGCTCAATCGAATAAGAGGCTCGCGCAGATTGGTCTGTTCACACAAGTTACGGCACGGACAGAGTCGGACTTAATGGTGGCTGCGGCGGCGTAAACGTTGGTGCTCGACCGATCTATGAAGAGGAGCTATCCGAGGATGCTCGTGCAAGAGCCAGCTTGGGTACAGGGAGAGGGAGACAGGCCTGGGAGATGGAGCTATGATTGGCGGAAGCTAGGGCACATTCGGGCTTCATGGCGGCTGCGGCGACGGGTGCTCGACCGTCTGACGAAGCGGAGTTGGCCGCAGGAGTTCACGCCAGACCGAGCTTGGGACGAAGCCTGGATCGCGGGGATTGGCGAGAGCTAGGGCACGGGATGGGCATCGAGCGGGATGAGGAAGCGACGGAGCGGGCCTCTGGAGAATGAATTGGTTAAGTTGTAACCGGCTTAAACGGCCGCCAAAAAAATTCTATAACAGCGGTTTTAAAATGTCATTAATAAATACTGTGAAAAATATTAAATTTTAAAAGAGTGGAAAAAAATGAATAATATATATTTTTTTAATAATCAGCAAGTTGAAAATATTAAAAATATAATTATCTTTTTAGATAGATTTGTTAATAAAATACTAAATAAATGCCAGATTTTATAGATTAAAATTTTAATTTTATTTAATGCTAAGTAACCTTCCACACACACTTGGGAGAAATTTTCTAATAGTTTTTAGATTTTTCTATTTTTGCTCACAAAGTTTAGGACAATCCACAAATTAGCCTGGACGATCTGTTAGAACAGAAACTCTAATTAGAAAATTCTGGTTAAGATAGCTGTCATTAAGCGCATTGTCTTGGATGATATTTGTAAAATAATGTTTATTAATGAAAATATTGAATATACAAACTACATGGATAGATTAAATTTTAATTTTATTATTCATAAAGCTTTAGAAATAATGCAAAGTGATTATTGTCAAATTTGATAGAAAATCATGAAAGATTTTAACAATAAGATTTTTTCATTAAATTATTAATATCATATATATAATTAAGATTTGAGAAAAGAAATTCTAATTTGACATTACACAATAAATCCATGTCCTGGTTATTTGGTTAGATTGAATGTGTGTAAGGCTCTAACATTATCTGATTTTATTCAACCCAAACCAATTAGAATTGAGCTCAAATATATTATAGGAGGATTTGCATGCATATCATGCAATTCTTATGTATTAACATAACTAACATCTAAATTTTAATATTTATTCATATAGCACATTAGTGTCTCAATCACATCAAAGCATATTTATGAAAAGATTTTTTTTATTTTAGAAATTTTAATAGTTTTTATGTGATTTAAAAGTTTTGTATTATATAAGTAAATATCGAACTTTAGATGTTAGATATCAAATATATAAGAATTTTATCGTATGTACGCTAATCACACACCCTAAATTTTAATACGCACCTCAACTTAGGAGGACTAGTATTTGATCCAAAATTATTCATGTGTGACACTAGTAACTTACTAACAATAATGAATAGAAAATAACATAAAAAGCAAGAAAATAAGTTTAGAGAGAGGAGCTCTAGCATTCTAATTTCACAATTTTGTGTGAGTAGAACAATTTATTTTGATAATGATTTTCTTTTACAATTGCTAAAGCATTTATGATGATAGAGATAATTTGATATTTTAATATTGCATGGAGATTACAAATATACACATATAAATTGAAAATAATATTTTTTACATAAAAAATTTAGTGGGCAAAAAATTATGGGTTTTTGGACAATTGAAATTGTTCTACTAGTGTGAGTCCATGAACATAAAGGGTTCTCTTTCATGCACATCTCTTGAACCAACAGAGATATTTGTTATAGTTATAATAAGTGGAGTCTTAAGATGTCAAAATGAGCATTGGGCAATGAGTTAAGAACAACAATTGAAGGTAAACATCACAAATTAAGAGACAAAGAGTGATTTGCTTGTTATATTGGTAGGAGGGAAAGCTGAGAAAAAGGGAGATGAGGTCATATATTGGTGGGCATCATTTGTTGGAAACTCTCTAGCAATGATTAATAACGAGAAAAAAAATAGGTAAAGTGGGTGATTAATTTAGTTATCCTTCTTATAGGAGGAGAGACCCAACATTTAGAAGACATATATTAGTGATCGAAAGATGTGGTCATTTAAATTTATCAAAAGATATTGGGTGATTGGCTTGGTCATTTTCCGAAAAATACGATAAATTGGGTGGCTAATAAGAAGAGTGTCGGGCGTTAATTATCAGCATGTATTAGGAGATAGTTAATGGGAAATATTAGAAGTTACAACAACAACAACAACAACAACATCAAGCCTTTATCCCACTACGTGGGGTCGGCTACATGAATCCTTTTTCTCCATTGTGTACTATTAAAAGTCAAATTCTCGTTTAAATCTAATAAAGAAAGGTCATTAATAATATTTTCTATCCAAGTCTTTTTAGGTCTACCCCTACCTTTCTTAACATAAGTCAAATCTAATACCTCTACTCTTCTAACCGGGTCATCCGAAGGCCGCCGTTTTATGTGACCAATCCATCTAAGGCGACTCTCTCTAATCTTATCTTCTACTGGAGCTACTCCAACCTTTTCACGTATATGCTCGTTTCGTATCCTATCTCTAAGGGTAAAGCCACTCATCCACCTGAGCATCCTCATCTCTACCACACTTAACTTAGTATTATGCTTCTCTTTTAATGGCCAACATTCGGCACCATAAAGCATTGCAGGCCTCACTACCATCTTATAGAATTTTCCCTTAAGTTTTAGGGGTACATTTCTATCACATAATAATCCCGATGCATTCCTCCACTTCAACCATCCAACTTGAATTCTGCTGATAATATCCCCATCTATTTCACCATTACTCTGAAAAATAGATTCAAGATATCTAAAATGTGTACTCTTATTAATGACTTGATCGCCCAAAGTCACAATCCACTCACTAGGTCTATTAATACTAAAATTACACTCCATATATTCCGTGTTAGATCTACTTAAGCGAAAACCTTTAGACTCTATGGTTGACCTCCATAATTCAAGTTTACCATCAACTCCCTCTCTAGTCTTATCAACAAGAAGAATATCATCAGCAAAACGCATACACCAAGGTACATCCTCTTGCAAATGTCTAGTGAGAACATCCATGACTAAAGCAAAAAGATATGGACTTAAGGCTGATCTTTGATGTAACCCAACTGAAATAGGGAAATACTTGGTCAATCCACCTTGTGTTTGAACACAAGTAATAGCTCCTGCATACATATCTTTAATGATTTGAATATAAGCATTATTGATTCCTTTCTTTTCAAGAACTCTCCATAGATCTTCTCTTGGAACTTTATCATATGCTTTTCTTAATCAATAAATATCATATGTAGATCCTCCTTATTTTCTCTATATTTCTCCATCAAACCTCTTAATAAATGTATGGCTTCCATAGTCGACCTACCCGGCATGAATCCAAATTGATTTTTAGAAACATCAGTATCACGCCACAGCCTATGCTCCATAACTCGCTCCCATAGTTTTAAAGTATGACACATTAACTTAATACCTCTAAATATTAGAAGTTAGATGATGATAAATAGTGAGCTTAGTTATTCTCTTAATAAGAGAGTAGAACGGGATATTAGAAAAATAATTTTCGCTTGTTGACTAATGTTACTTTTTAGCAAGCATCAAGCGATGATCAACAAAGACTTTCATAAGTCTGACAATCTAGTTGATGGTTTGGGTGGTGAGCTTAATAATTCATATGATAGGAGAAGAGACCATGCTCGAAAAAAAAAAAAATCAATGTCCATAGTTGATGTATCTTAATCATAAGTTTGTCTCATGAGATAGTTAATATAAAACATCAAAAGTTAGGTGATTAGCTTGCCATTCCATTAATATGAGGGGAAATAAAAAAATTATGAACACAAGCAATATATATTAGTTGTTGATGAATGTTGATTATTAGTACCCAAGGGTGATAATCGGTGAGAAACATTAGAAGTCAACTATTGATAGGTAGTCAATTTGATCATTATCTTGATAAAGGGCAGCCAACATTAGATGTTAGTGATTACCAAAAAAATAGTTAATAGAAATTAGCATGTGTCAAGTAATAGTCATATGAACATCAAAGTTGGTGTAATATTGATGATCAATTAACTTCATTATTCCCCTAATAGGAGGGATGATTTGGTGGCTAATAAGATTGACATGAAATTATTGTGGCATGTAGGAACAAAATGTTTTATAATTAGTGAGCATTAGTTGACTATAGATAAGGGACATCAAAAGGTATGTAATAATGGGTGGTCAGCTTCTTTGTTTTATAAATAGGATGGAAGATAAATAATAACAAGACAAAGTGTCAACCATTGATAGCTAGTAGACATCAAACATTGATCATGGGTCAAGGTCAATCAACTATCGATAAGGAATATAAATAGTTGGGAAATGGAGAAAGATCAACTTGGTTGTTTTCCCAATATTAAGGCATATCAAGTAACTAAAAAGATAAATAACAAATATTGGTGGCTAATGGATGTCAAAAATTAATCAAGAACAAGTGCTGAATGAGGGGGACTAATGAATATTAAATCTCAATTGATGGTAAGCAATTAGCTTGAGAATCCTTCTGATAGGAAGAGAGGCCAAATTATGGGAAAAAATTGGCATAAGACATTAATGATTGGAAAATATTAAACATCATCTTTGGAAATCATTGAGAAATGGTTGATAGATAATGGTAGATGTTAGGTAGTATCATGAGGCTATTTTAGTCATTCTCCTTATTGGAGGGGAAATCAAGAGGATAAGCATCATTCAATGATAATTAGTATTCCTTAGATGTTAGTTGTGGGTATCCATTAGTTAATAATCAATGAGTGAAATCAAAGGAAGACTAATATTGTATGGTTATTATACACATAGGGTGTGAGGGTGAGATATTGAGAAGATTTATATTTTTGATGTCATTAGGTGATAACATTTAAAATTTATCATTAGAAAGAATTGGATATTAATCATGTTGACACCAAGAGCCTAATGCTACTTCGCATGATTGATGATCACAAACATAATTTGGTTAAGTTGTCGAATTCATTTATGTGTAGGGTTTAGTACTAACAACTACATGTGTACAATAGAAAGTCAATATGCAAATTTTATGCATAACTATAGAACGTACGAGAAAGAAGACTTTAGCTCAAGGCGAATAGTCCAAGCTCTATATTTACTAGAGCAAAGCATCAAACTAAGCCAAAGAAAATTTGCATCAAGGTTTGTATGAGTCAAGTTCTAGTGTTGTTCTTATATATGTATACTCTGGAAAACAAATCCTACAATACAATGTCAATCGTACTATGCAATATTCCTTTATCTAAAAAATCTAGAAAGGTCAATTTGTATTAATTAAAAAATTCTTTAAA